AATTGTTAGTGTAAATATGCCTCCTCAACAACACTCGCCAAAAAAGGGAGGTATGGAGATGGTAATGGCCCTTACCCACATGTGAGCAAGAATGTTGACTTCAAACATTTTTTCAATCTGGTGGTCCTGAGTCGAGAGCAGGTCGGCAGCTGTAATCACACCAGCGTTATTCACCAGGATGGAGATATCCCCAATGTCCTTTTTCACCTTTTGGACAGAAAAAACCCAGAATAGTGCATGTTATTTGTTATCAACAAAATGCAAGGCTGTGGGAGACGAGCGACAATGTAATTCTTAACGTTGTTTCTTTTAAGGAGAAGAAGATTGCACTACGTTTCCAGGTGTGGTAGGAACCGTGCAGTAGTACCATGAAATATGGTTTAAAGCTGATGCGTCTCCCTTAATTACTGCCAGCATTTACAGCCTTCCACACACTGCCCACAGACACAGCATTTGCACTGCGTAGTCACAGTTGGGACTATGGGCGTGCAGACTGTTTTGAGCCAGCTGGACCATATCCTTTACACTACAATGTTTCAAATGTCTCCAGTGTTGTCTGTGTGCTGTTCAGGAAAGTAAAAGGCAGAAGTTCCTTCAGGGGCTGGAAGTCTAAAGGGCAAACTTGGCATCGAGGTGATACGCTGGAGCCTCACAAAAGACGATGAGACTGGCTGCGATCTCAGAAATGCTACTTCACTCTCCGTACAAAAAGCAGCAAGAAGTGGGGAGATTCCAAGGGCTTGCATGACTTGTGCGCAATACCTCTTCTCTTGTTTTCCTAGCTTTTCTGACAACCGAGCACATTTGGGTAAGCCTTTGGACGTGCCCCTGCTCCCCTACCTTCTCTGCAGCGCTGTAGATTTCCTCCCTTTTGCTGCAGTCCACCACAAAGGCTTGAACAGTGGCTCCCAGCCTTTCGCATTCTGCTGCCGTGTCCTCGACGCCGTGCTGCAAGAGGCAGAAAAAAAAGCCACGCGTGCGCAACTGTACGCTGCCCACGTGTTGCTGC